AGAACAAATTTTAAAAAATTATGGATTCTCACTGAAGTACTTTCGTCGTGAGAATATTTTGGTTGTGGGGGAGGAGATGGAAGAGGGGAGGGAAGCAGGGAGGGGGCTGGGGAAGAGATAGGAGGGGAGGGGGGCATGTGGTAGGCCTTACATGAAGCTTTGACCATGATATAACAGTGGCACCTAAGATAGAAATGGAGAGAAGAGTGATGGAGGGAAGAGAGGAGAGAAGAAGAGAACCTGGATTGTTAGGAGGAATGTAGTGTCGGATTAAGGAGGGAGTGGAAATATTATAGAATTAATCATCTTCACGATCATTATCATGATGATGATCATCATCAAGTGCCAGATCTGAAACAGACATCGGCGATCATGGTTTCCCCATTCATTTCTCCGCTCGGATGCTCTCAAACTGCTCATGATCCTGCAGTTTCCCCATAACCCATTCGTTCAGGTTTTCCAAATACGTTTCTCTGGGTCTGCCCCTGCCTTCTGTTTCTCCAGCGAGAGGTAGATGTTCACAAATTGTATGTAATTTTGTGCCGCAGGGAGTGTTGGGGTGCGGTCAACTGGCCGGGGGGTTGGGAACATGAAAATGGCAAAAATATCGTTTTCTTGATGTTTGAGGTGACGAAAAGAAGACAGCAAGGCAAAGGTTATTTTTTTTCTAATGGAGGGGAAAAGGGAGGGCAGGATGATAGGCAGAAGTAGTGGGCTGACAGAAGAGAGAGAGAGAGAGAGAGAGAGAGAGAGAGAGAGAGAGAGAGAGAGAGAGAGAGAGAGAGAGAGAGAGAGAAGACGGGGGTGTAGGACCTACTGGTGGCACCCTCCAACAACCCACAGCAGGACAAAGGGGAAGCAGTAGTGTCATTTCCAGTGTGGTGTACAAATGTCTAGTGGGTCTATTCCCCTGTGGTGCGTACAGGTGTGTACATGTGTCCCAGTGGTGTGTAGAGGTCTGTCCCTGTGGTGTGTACATGTGTCCCTGTGGTGTGTTCCTGTGATGTGTCCCTGTGGTGTGTCTCTATGGTTTGTCCTTGTGGTGTGTCCAGGTGTCCCGCTGTGGTGTGTCCCTATGGTTTGTCCTTGTGGTGTGTCCAGGTGTCCCGCTGTGATGTGTCCCTGTGGTGTGTACACGTGTCCCCTGTGGTGTGTCCAGGTATGTCCAAGTGTGCAAGGTGTGTCCCCTACAGTGTGTACAGGTGTCCCTGTGGTGTCCAGGCGTATCCCCTTGTTGTGGGTCCAGGTGTGTCCAGGTGTCCCTGTGGTGTCCAGGTGTATCCATGTGTTGTGTGTCCAGGTGTGTCCAGGCGTATCCCCTTGTTGTGTGTCCAGGTGTCCCTGTGGTGTCCAGGTGTATCCATGTGTTGTGTGTCCAGGTGTGTCCAGGCGTATCCCCTTGTTGTGTGTCCAGGTGTCCCTGTGGTGTCCAGGTGTATCCATGTGTTGTG